AAATATATTGAGAGCTTTCATATCCATGTCACATTTGTGAACTCCAACATTGGGTAAGGACTGTTGTCTAACAGGCCCAATTGCACATTGTTTGTTTTTCCTTATTGACAGAGCAGCACATGTGTAAGAAATGGGGATGTTTTATGCACATTCCTCCAACCAAGCCTGAGCCTATTTTCTGAGAACCAAAAACTGAGGTGTTACAGTGAATGGGACTTGATGGTAACACAGAGTAGATGAAAAAGAAGAAGGTGTGGTTGAACTATTATGTTTGAATAACACCCCAGTTTGGTATTCATTCACTTGTGTATTTGTATATGTGTATGTATGTATATATATATATATATATATATAGAAGGTAGACAATCCATTCTCAACCCCCCCCCTCTTTTTGCCTTACAAGGTGATATATTTTTGATCAACTTGACATGAATCATTTATAAGTTCTAACACCTCAATACTTAGTGCATATTTTTCCTCATCTCCATGGTACCATTGGGTAATTTCATGCCAATTCAAATAAATTGGCTGGAATCAAGTATTCTCAATTTTGTTACCAATAATTGGTTGGAATTAGGTTAACCTATATGACAAGGTTGTGTCAAACAAAATCTCCAGCTAAAAAATTCACAGTAATTTCTTTTTGAGCAAAATGATGTGAAAAAACCTGGAATCCTCCCAAATTCTATTTCCCCACATATGATTTTTTGGGGAAAAAAGAAAAATAAAAATAAAAATTAGACCCAAACTTCAGATATGCTAAAATGGGAAATGGGTCTCCACCTCATGTGACATGCTTTCATGCAGTCAACTTTGCTCTGTAATGCCTTCACACTTCAACTATCTGAGCATCCAAACATAGATGAATAAGACTTTTTTTTTCTTGCTTAAACAAGGCAACTCATAATAGGAGCACCTGAATTCATTTCAATCCTTTGTATTTCTATTGGTAAAATTTGGAAGTTGACCATGTTATTGTTTCAACTGTTTTCAAAAAACATTGGTTGGGCACCAAAATTTATAAAACATATGTGTTCTTTTCATCAGAGCAACAGTATTGGATGGTAGGAATGGGGATTTGGGTTGTCACTCACCCATGGAAATGCCATCACCATTCTAGTATTTGCTTTTCCTCTCTACACAGAAATGAGAAAAAAACACAGCTTGAGTACAAATTCCAATACACATAGTTTAGGGCTTAGGGCTAATGGGTCCCTTCTTTTATTCTTTATTTTGTTTTGTTTTGTTTTTTTTTTTGGTTATTTATATTTTTATGACTGAGGCTGCAATACCCTGGCAGAGCTCATAAGCTTCTTCTTGGTGGCTTGAGTGGATAAGTAATTGTGGGCACATGAAGTCAGTGACCACATAATGGAGACATGGATCATGAGGGGGTCAATGTGATCTAATACTACAGTAAAATGGACTCATGATGCAGCCTGAAATAGAGAGTGTCTTTCAACTTTTCAGAAACCAATTATCATTCCTCTTTGCATTTGAGTCCTCACATTTCTTTACTCTTTCTGTTTGATGAGTAGTAGGTGATTCTAAACTAAACTATCATGAGCTTTACCACCAAGTTTAAAGTTCCATTTAAAACCCTCTGCAATCCATCAAGCCCTGTTTTATTTCTAGTTCCCAACTACCCAATGGCATTTCCAAAGGAGCCCTGCAATACTGGACACTAGTGGGGCCCAAACTTAGCACTGAACCAATGCACAATACCACACAAAACCTTTGCAAATCCACAACAACTAGGATTCAACAATAATCATCCATGTCCTTTTTCTTTATGAGATTCTTTGTTCAAGTTTATTGGGCTGTGAGAATCAAATTCTGGATTTTATTCATTCATAAAATGTCAATTTGTTAATACCCAAGTTTGGATTTTCTTGTTACTTCAACAAAAGGCCAATGGATTAATTATCTTCTTCAGGAATTAGTCAAACTCACATGTTGTGCATGGCAATTGCCACAGTTTGTTGTAAGATGCAAGTGGTTTCAGTGAAAGTTCAAAATGAGCCAATCTAACCATTCATGCACATGAATATTCTAAACATTTTAAAGCTCCTACAATGTAAGTATTGATGGGACATCCCATGAATAATAAACTCCCTTCTTCTGGGATTGATATCTGATTATGTCCTAGACAGTTAAACTGACATTCCTTAATACATGATAGAATGCCACTTTGTTCCATTCCTTCTACTCATTGAAGCTCAATCACAGTTATGAGAGTCAACAAGGTGTATTGATTTTACTACATCTGCCTTAATTATCTAAAGTATGCTACAATTATAGACTGTTGGTGTGGCTCTATGTTGACTTGGCCATAAAAAGATAACGCAAACTTAAACACAATCCCTGCATTTTGTAAGTTTGAAGTCTATAATTGCAAACTAGGCAATTTGTGGAAATATTCCAGTAGCATATTTCATCTTTGGAACACATATTCATGATCAGTGATCTGGGTCTAAAGTTCCTGAGGTCACTCATATATGATGACCATGACCCAAAACTTAGCATAATATCCTCCAAAAAAAGGAGTTATCTAATGGCTCAAACTCCTCCACAGAATATTAGATTCTCCACATATTTTTGTGAAGAAATAGAATCTTATTGCACATGTGGTATCCATGAAAGCATCTCTCTCTGCAAACAACATGGGCCACACTAAATTGCAAGTGTGAATCATTCTCAGCCATGAAGAAATGTTTATGAATGTTGTCCAAGCAACAGAAATGGGAGAGAGAGAGAGAGGGAAGATAGGAGATAAACCCTGCAGTTGGCCAAAAATGGGTCTGATTAGGGGAGAGCAGGCATGTTCCGTGGTGCAACATGTCACTTGGGTTAGATGGAATTGGCATGGTAGGGTAGGCCTACTCATGACAATTGTGGCTTGCAGCCCTTAATCAGTGCCCCCCTACTCACCCTTTTTTTTTCCCACATCCTCAAAATGCCATGAGAGTGTGAATCCATCCACTGCAACTAACTCTGCCATCACCTGCAAACCATCCTTTTCTAAAAAAAAGAAATCAGCATTTGAAGTGGAGGTGAATGTGTGTGTATCAGGAGAGACAGTGGATACATATTATGGTGTGGGCAGTTTGAAAAGGATTTTGTGGGTGAAAAACTCCATACACAAGCAGAGTCACACCCAATGGGACACAAAGCTGATAAAACCTAAAGTTCCTTCGAGTTTCCAGAAACCCTAATTTTTTGAAGTCATGTACAGTGATGGAACCACCACAGACTTTGCACTGGCAGCAGGAGGACCTTTCTGTAAGGTGGGGCCTTGGGAATCTGTCCCATGCTTGAACCACCTCTCCAGTGGTCAGTTCATGTTGAATCCATTGGAATGATGCAGTCATCCTGTGGTAGAAAAACAAAACAAAATAATAAAAATAAAACTTAACAACATTGAGTGTCATCCCTTACCCATCATGGCTGCCTCATCACATGATCTTCCACAGACAAACTCACTCAAGTGTAAAGTCCCCAATTTAGGTTCCTTCTAACATGAAAAACCACACTCACTTTTTGGGTGCTTGTATGCCTTTTATTAATGAATCAAGTTTGGTGATAAGGTTCCATGAATGAGGTGAAAATAAGTGAGCTCATTTATAACTACTTAAAAACTGTGTATTCCAGACTTTGAGTCTTCTTATGTTGGGTCAAATACTACTAATTGACATTAGGTCATGAACTCAAGAAATTTCTTAATGTAAAAAGAAAAAGTCTTTCAAAATTCCAGGGTTTGGATGAACCCAATTGTTTATATTCTGAAAGTATGTTTCTCAACCCTAAAATGTGCCATGTTTTCCCCGCCAAAAAACAAACAAAGAGTGAAAAAGAGAAGAAAAAATAACAAAGGAAGAAGCATGCCATGTTTGCCCAAGTTCCAATCATCCATTCCTAAGTACCCATTGCACCGTTTTGAATTACAATTCTTTATGGTATTTATTTATTTATTTACTTATTTATTTTTGCTGACACCTTCAATTCATTGTCAGGCTCACTGTTTGTGCCAAACTTCTTTCAACTTTATTCTTAGTTATTTTTAGATTCTTTTTGATATATGTGTTAAAAAAAGGCATTTGTGACAGATGTGTTCTTCTGGGAACAAGTTTGCACAAGCCAGAAACCCTCTAATGTATGAAAAAATGAATGAACTCACTACTTTGTTAGAGCACGAGCTCATCAAAGCAGCTCTTTGCCCTAATCAAATGTGCCTGTTTGCACAGGCTTTCTTAATACCATATCAATCAGTTCAACTAAAACCTCAATGTGGATCTCTATAAAAGTAAAGAACAAATGATTTCACAATAGAAAAAAGAAATAAATAAAATCATTACACAAATAAAAGGATACAACACAAGCTCCTTTGTTGATAAGTTATAAAAAAAAAAAAAATGAAGTTTACTTAATAAATATAACATTAATGCGAGTTCATGTCATGTGTTTATTGTTGAGGTATGACTTAATTTCTAAAAGTTTTTTAAAAAGTACTTACAAAATGAGATCATCACTAGAAATCAACTTAGAATTCATGATAGTGCCCAACATAGGAAGTTAAATAATATTCACATTTATTACATATCACATTGTTTCAGTTTTAGTGCTCATTGGCAAACGTTTCCCAAAGCTACTCATACAAAAAAGTAAAAATTAAGTCAGTAAAAAGTGACACCATGTATTCAAAGCTGGAGAAATATATTTTTATCTCCATTTCACATGCACAAAAGCATGTCAACATGAGTGTGTTGTTGTTTCCAAGGGGGACCATTTACTTAAGCTGATAGCAAATGGGCTTAGCCTACAAAAAGCGCTGATGGGAACGCAGGTTCCCATTTTTCACCAGGACTAGTAAATTCTCAGTTTACACGCCCACATATTTAGGTCAAGGACAGAAATAGGAGGGGAACGCAAGGGAACTTCAAGGGAGCGCCGAGGAACGTTTGAGGGGAACTTCGTCTCGCACCTCAAAGGGAGAGTCAGGGAATATGCGAAATAGCCAGAGACACAGAGCGCGAGAGAGAGAGCGAGCGAGAGCGAAGAGGAGAAGAGTCGAAGAATGCATTTGCAATGCATCGCTGCCGCGTTGTGTTCCGCCTCATCTCGAACGGTCGATGCTGGAGTGACAATTCTTTCCTTTGGTGTTAAGTTTCCGTCCCTCGAGAGCAGTTTATTGCGGTGCGATTGATGCACTGGCGAGGTGGTGATCGGTTGCTGATCACTTCCGGCGCTTCACGGAATTTTGGACGAGGAGGCTGGATTTCGAGGTAGGGAGCTCTCTGCGTTTCGGTTCTAGGACTACATTGGCTGTTTTGATGGTCGCGCGAGGGTTTTATTAGGTTGGATTGGTTGAGGTTGGGATTAGTATTTCGTTTTATCGGGTGAGGAAATGTGAGAGTGGGAAGAGATTTTTTTTTCCAGAGAGAGGTGTAAGTGGCGCTGCCTTGAGAAGGGGTTAGTGAATCGTGTTTGGAATTCGAAAAGTTTGGGTGGAGAAATTGTAGTCTTTCAGTTAGTGAAGAGGTTTGAGTGATCGGGGAGTTGAGTGCTGGCTTGCGTGTTGGTTCAGCCAAGACATTGCAGTGACTTCAATTGGAAGTCAAAGGTTGAGGAAGGTTTTTAAGTGTTTTAGTGTGGAGGAGTGATCTGCTCTTGGCGTGAAGTTTCTTGAATTTTTATTTTTGCGATTATGCGAGGGAAGTGTCAGTGCTTCTGTTGTTATTGTCCTTGGATAGGGTGATAACAGTTTAGCTTCTCCCTGGCATTCGTTATCCTACACTGCTGTTTTCTGAGAGAGTTTCTGCGTAGAGTCTCGAAAGTGGAGTGCAATCTAGTCACGCAAGCGCCTGTGCTTTGCTCGATTCTAAATTTGAGGAGCCAATGTAAGTCTTGTCATCCAGGGTGTGCCCTTTGTGGTGTTTTCCTGGTTTCGTGGTGGACGGCTTTGGTACTGGAGTGGTGCATTTTCGACTGCTTCTGGATTGTTAGGCTCGGGGATTGCAGGATTAGGTGACGTGGTAGTGGATGGTAACAGAGGAGTCATTGTGTAGATTTGTGAAATAGTCTCCGTTGGTGCCTACTTTCTCTTCCCTGTTTGTGTTCCTTAGGATATGAGAGGTTAAAAAAATTATTCGAAGTGAATTCGAACTTCGAACATGCGTAGTTGAGAAAGACGACCGTGCTCTTTGAGTAACCAGGACACTTGTTATGTTGTCTGTGATACTTAGAATGCCTGCAGGCTTTTGTCTTAACATCATAGTTGGTATTGCCTTGCCCTTATCTTGCATCACTATGAACTTGTTCCGAGGTTATCAGATTCGCAGTTGCATTTGATGATCAAGGCGCGGTGTACATGGAGGATGATTTGCATGATCTCTTCTCCTCTAGGTTTCTTTTTGTCTTTTCCAATTCTTATTTACATCCTTCAGACTTATTTGCGGACTAAGAGCATGATACTTTCTCGTGTAATTCTTACTTACCTGGTCAATCCTACACTAAAGCAACTCGGATTAATCATGGCTAGTAGCCGTTGTAGGCGCACGATGCTTGTAGATCTTCTGACTGTTCACTTGGATGTCAGCAGCACGCTAACTTCAACTGGAAATTTACACATAGAAGCTCATGGTAGTCACTGTCTTGTTCTGATCTCATCATTCCTCTCGGTTTCGTCGCTAACGATGCTCCATATTGACCTTGATGTGTGTTTATGTTGTAATTGCAGAGGGAGAGCGAAATAAGCTGATTGCTGTTGAAGTGGCTCGTAATGTGGAGCTATGGCGAAAAGCTATGGAGTTTATACTGACAAAATTGGCGTCAGTTTCTATGTATGAGACAACTTACAACATACCCAAGGAAATCGTTAGGTATGGAATGCACTGTTTTACCCCCGCTAGAGTGTTTTAAAATAAGAAAAAAATAAGAATAAAAAAATAAAATCTAATTTCTTGAATCCCACTGAATTCTTGCTCTTTAGGTTTTTGGTATCTAATTTTGGATTAAGCAGCGTCTGTGTGCAATTGGGCCCCGTCACTGAATCAGAAGAATTTAATAAGTTCATTGCATCCCTAGCTCTGATTGAAAGCTGCTACTTTTGTGAAATTCAAGTTCGGGGTCCCGTTCGTACTTGGCTCGTTTATTAATGCACATGCGCACTTTTTGAGCTTTTTCGTTTCGAGTGTCAATTTCTGAGGAACCCCCTCAAGTCATCTTCATCTTTGTAGTTTGAGCGCTCTCTCTTGGGTTATTATTGGTGTTATGTATCGATAGAATCTAAACTTCTTTGGATACCTTGGCAGAGTGAGTGGTAATCAGGTCTGAAGCTTCTGTCTCACATGTATCAGCTTAAGCCCAGTCATCCTATTCTTTTAAATGGACTTACTGTCTGAATTTATGAACTTTTTTTTTCCATGTGTGCAGAGCTCAGCTGTCCATCTCTCTTGGACTTGAATAGCTATCTTTTGAGTTTTTAATTAAATCTTCTCTAGAACAGAGTTTGAAAGCTTTTGAACTGCATAGCTTGATGGCAGACAGCCAGGGCTTTTCTATGGCCGCATCTAAGTGTGACCTGAATAAGGGGATGAATGATCACCGAGATGAGGCAAGCAAGAGCAACCTATACGGTAATTTATCGTCCTGTACAGAAACTCGCTCTAAATGGACCAATTTGGAAGTGTCATCGAAGAAGATGATTTCCAACTCACCGCATTTGTATCCTAAACCGTCCTCAATTATCCTCCGCATCAAACAACATCCTCCCTCACTGGAGGTTCATCTGCCGGAAGAGAGCTCTCCTAGTTCTTCAACAACTGATTCCTCGGATTCAGACAACAGTGGTGGAGGGACGCTGTCATCCAGCACAGTGGATAAGAGGTCAAATGATGAAGATTCAGATGCTGAGAGCACCTATAATGCTAACGGGGAGGTAACCTGCATTGTCGATTCTTTTGCTGAGCTGGAGAACGTGCATGCATCTGAAAATCGTACCATTTTGATCCACCATATGGCTGAGGTACTAATTCCTCTAGATGCTTTTGATTATGTGTAAATTTTTAGTACTTCTCTGGAGTATGTTGACGGTGAGGAATCGAAGCCCGCCAGGAATCGTAGTAACTCGTTCTTAAAATTTGCTGCATACTGTAGTATCTGTTCTTCTTTGCTCTTTGTGGCGATCGTGTGCTTTGGTAGTATTCTGAAATCTGTCCGACTCCTATGAATATTCTCCATGTCAAGTTTATATTGTGATGACTTGATGCTGTGGGTAGCTTGCCGATGTAAGTTAATTTTCTGAATATACCTTATCTGTGTTCAGGTTGCATTGAACATCAAATTAGGGCCTACAGGATTATATCTGGCCGTTCAACTTCTTGACTTGTACTGGAACCATCATCGTGAAAAGGGCAAGATTTTGGACTCCGTACAGCTCCAAGTGCTTGCCCTCACTTGCGTCCATGTCGCTAACAACCGCTTCAGTGGCATTAAAAGGTGCAAAGGAATTTGTGATTCGTTCAAATGTTCTTCTGTCCTGCATTCAAGTAATATATATATATTTGATTTTCTCGATAAATCCAAGTGATATTTCAGATGTCTATTAATCTCTGGCTGCAACCAGAAGAAACACTAGTACTGGCATATTGCACACTCCGGAACGGTTTTGCTGCCAATCAAAGTCTCAATACTTATCATAGTGCATTGATTTGAACAGAACCCCAGACGAATTTTGTCGCTTAGCTGGTGTAGCAGAAGGAACTGTGAAAGGATGCATGATTGTGAAACAAGAAGCATCCCTCGAGGCTTTGCTGGGAGGCTCGCAAGTTGCAGCCACGATCTCTACTTGGGGGTTATGGTATGCGCATTGTTCTATTGACCTCAATGTATTTACGTTCACACTGTCGAAATATTTCGTTGTCATTATATACTGCTCCCTTGTAACATGTAGTACTCTTTCGAAAAGATGGGAACTTCTGTAAATTTCGTTCAATATTTGACACGATTGATTGCTCACATGTTACGGTATGTCTGATGTGTTCAGGCGTAAGATGGGGCATCCAGCTAATCAGCAACATTTAATCCAGTTTGTAAGGTTGCTAAAGGGTTCTGACTTTGGAAACGCACACTTTCCACGTGATCTCATGGAAGGATCACATTCTGTGTGTAGTGCTTCAGCATCGTCGATTGAAGTTCTCACTACGAATGCAGCTAAGGTAAGGTCTTATTAGGCTTTAACTTAAGTCCTTCATTGATAGTAATCATGTACGCAATGAACTTTCTGTTTCAATGTTCTCTAGTCTTACAACCTATAAAATTGTTATGCAGTGTATTAGTTATTTATAAATGTTGTCTGTGTCTAATTTGTTACTTACTCTCTTTTGCATCTTGCAGGTTGTAAATGCACTCTTGTCATCAGCTCAAGGTTGTTCGACAACTTCAAGTGGCAAGAAAAGGCCCTTGGACAAACCAATCGTGTTTGTGCCAATGAAACGTAGTGCAGCTCAAGGGTGAAGATATTCGACGTCAAGTGCATATGCTGGGGTTTTTTGGTTAACCCCTTGTGACTAACAATAAGCTGGTGAGTACAATCTTGTAGGTGATAATTATCACCAAAGATTGGAATGCCCAGGATTTATTTGTACAGTGTTAACACCAACAATAATTCTGCAGGGAGGAGTTTTGACTAGTTACACACCGTCATGTTACTTGTAAAACATTTAGTTTGACCATAGATTTCACTTGTTCATACACCAAATTCAGGGAAAATGAAAAAAACAGAAAAAAAACACTCATACTCTGACCCTTTTCAAGCTCATTTCGGAAACTCTTCGGTGTGTTCCCCTGAACACAATTAGTTGGTAGTCAGCTTTTAAATCTCATCAAGGTCACACAGATAGCATCTGATGGCATATTGGAAGGGCAAAATCTGCTGTAGGTATCCTTGAGAACAGATGTTAGCTCATGTATATACATTTATCTGGCGCTCTTTCTTTCAAGATTTGGTACATAGTTGCAATTTAGTTTGCATCGCCGGCATGTTTAATAACTTTGCCTTGGTTGTAGCCCCTCGGTTGCACTGTATGGCACAGGATGGTGGTAAATTTTCTCTGTACATAAACTCAATAAAACAATTCTTTCACCGGAAGTGTTCGGTTACTCCTTCCTCTCACTTATACTGCTCTACTCGAGGCATGAATTTCAGTCAATTCTCATCCAAGTGTGCACATTTGGTTTGTTTCTGTACTGGGAGCCTTAAGTCTGTCTACATCGTCTGAGATAATCAGAATGAGCTGAGAAGTGACCAGATGTTAATGCAAGGTTCGTGTGAATCAGTGGGTAAGCACCAGCCAAGCCTTTTGCTGATGTACAAGGCGCCAACTTAATGAGGAGAATCGATTTGGTAGGTATTGGATTTTATTCAAGTAGCGACTTGTCGCCAGTAGATGTTGCAAGCGTAGAAAACTCTTGAACACAGCAAGAAGTTCCGATTTTAGGTTAAGAGCTTACTACGAGGTCTTTAAGCTTAATTGAGATATCTGGTGGTTACTGTCTTGATTTACAGCATTTCTGCACTCATTGTGATATAGAAGAGGTTAATGGATAAGCTCGGTTTTACGAAGCAGTTTGTGGTGCAGTGTTGAGAGAACTCCTTTGGCGTCGGTTCATATCTCTGCCTGGAGTCAGCTGGAGTCGAGAGTGGAGTAGTTGACGCTTTCAGGATCGAGGTGGAGAGGAAGTTGCCATTTCTTGTGTGTGCCTGCTGCGAGGAATTTCTGTTCACCCGCAATCCACTAATCTCAAGGCGTTGCGATACCACTATCTATTACTCGCCTGAAGATTGGCTCCCAAAGGATGTTCCTTGTAAGTCTTCCAACCGTTGGCGAGTTTCTTTCTGCTGTTCCGTATGATGAGAAGGATGAAGAATCCGGTACACTGAAGAGAATTCGACTTCGGCGGTCTTTGTTATCGTTGTTTAAGTCTCGTTCTGTACGACATGGACGATTCTCTTGACAGTTCTTTTGATAGTTGGATGGCTGCAACGTGGATTCTAACCACATGGGAGCTTTGATTATGCTTTCGCTGCGATTAATACTGCTGAACCGCAATCACAAGGTGGGTCAATTAGTGTGGAGGCGATAACACTGTAGGGCTGACTGAATCTGTGGCAGTGCTGACTGACTTGCGCACCATGCCTCCGTTGGAAGATGATACCGTCCGTCAGTGCAAGGCATGGTGGTACGCTGACCAACAGATCCGGACGGAAGACATGACGAGGTTTGTGAATGTTCCGGATTGCGAAGAGGGCTACCCTTTGCTCAAGAGTGAGTTGCCACCAGGTAACCTAATGGAACAGCATGCGGATCACCCCAAGGTTTACTGGCCCACAGAGGAGCCAAGAATCACATTGGGTTACTTGAATTTCATGTACTCTAAGCTTGTAATCCATTCTTCGAACACCCAACTCCCAGCAACTGCATGTTGATTTCTGTGTTCGATTAATATTTTGGCGAAGCATCCATTCTTCGAAATGTTAACTCAACTCTTTGCCTTCAAAATGTCTCAATATCCTACATCGCTGCGTTTGATGTGACAGGTTCGGATACTGAAAACTACGACAGACATCGTGTATAGGCAAAAGGCCGTTCAATGGTGCGTTGAGATGCTTTGCACCCCGGACTCTCGCGTGAGGTGTATATTGGCAGGTGCTTCTTCTTTTATGTAAGATTCACATATTGGGTTGTTTTCTGCTCTGGATTAAGACTGTGAGATTAGATGTGATTAATTCTTCCATGTGTTGAAGTCGGATCTGGAAGAGAGACCTTCGGACGCTTGGTCTGTAAGTTTTTACCACAATGAAAGTCATGAACAAAGAGTAGAGCCTCAAAAACAGAATATAATCCTATATAGATTATCTTCAATGTGGGTGTAGGTATTCTCCCGCTTTTAGCCGAAATGGCGCAGACAGAGGAGGACATGTATTTGAAACAGGAGCTCACCATGTGTTTCAAATATGCTTCAGGTGAATGTGGTTTCAGACTGTGCATTATCGTGCACAATTCATAGATAGCTATTTAATTCTTTACATGCATGAGCTCATGTAGCGTTGGCACTCGTGGTGAACTTTGTTGTTGAGTGTTGACAGCCTCAACAGAAGCTTGGGATGCGTTGGTGGACCTCAAATGCATTGACAAACTTGTGGAATATGTAAGCTTGATGAACCTTGAGACTACTTTGTTTGGTCTTATGAGAAGGAAACAAACAGGTATGCAAACCTCATGAGCTATTGTGTATGTGAGAATTCTTCTTGCAGGTGGCGAGCGACAATAAACTATTAAGAGGAAATGCTTTAAATGCTCTTAACGATTGCTGTCTTTCTGATAGAGGTGGGTTGCCTCAGACTAAGTCACAGATGTAGGCACTGAATTTCTTAGTTCAAACTGCAAAGAATCTTGAAAAAACATCAAATACAGCAAGGAATGTTTGTGAGTGCAATTTGAAACCCCTCACTGCCTCACACAACCAAATAGAATGTACAGTAATGAGTATGTAGAAACCTTCGTTGTCCTGTTCTGTCTTGTTCTATTTTATCGCAGTAAGTCTGAAGTTCTGGGCAATACATTTTCCCAGCACAAGACGTGATTGTCAACAAGGGTTCAACCTTGAAGTTCATCCTGGAGAATATTAATAAAGAGACTGATCGTATGAATACAATTGCGGCTTTGGACATCTTGTCAAAATGTATAATCAATTTGAACTACTGCGAGAAAGCAATGGAGGAACTTTTATCAGTAACTTTTTTCTTTGAACTTCCAACTAAAATTGATCACATACTCGCACATTTTGAGGTCAACAGACAAAGAAGAGGTCGAGTTGAATGAAGTTTGTCTTGCATCGCAACCTTCTTTGCCAACTGTTGGTAAATATGCATTATTAGTAAAGTTCTAGAATGGAAATGCATACTAAATTCTTAGAACCCTGACAAAAATTGGGATAGGTTGATGCTGTGTCCACTGCGCTGCGGTTGATGGATTCACGATTTTTAGATTTGAAGGAGTCCGCTACAAGATTTTTGTGTCTCCTGTGGTATGTGGACCAATCCTTCTTTTCAGATGACAGTCCAGAATTTGTTGCTTTTTGCATGATTTATTCAGTAGAATTGATTCATCAGTTTTAAACTCACATTACCAACATCAAGCTTGTGGTCAAGATTATTTAAGTTCCTGTGAGAGATTACTCCACATTGTGCAAGAATGGAGTCAAAACAAATCTTGAATTTTCGTCCCATCTCCTCATGTTGATCTCACTGTTCTTATTGTAATAAATTCAGCTTCCATATCAAAGGCAAAGACCAAGCTCTAAAGCAAGGTGCGATCGAGAAACTTTTACCGCATCTACATCACATTGAGCCCCGGATTCAAGTCTTTGGTTTGGCTGCTCTTATGAGGTACGTGTATTCAGCAAGCAAGATCAGCATTTAAGTTTCTCTAACTGTATGCGGTTTTACTTCATGATCTGGTTCTGCGGACTACTTAGACATGGAAAGTTGGTTTTTCACTTCATGTGGTCAAGAGAGAAGTCTAAAGATATCGACGCTCTAGCTGTGATTGTTAGCTCATCTACGTAGGCTTTCATGTGTTCTTGTTATGAATCTGCAGTATCACCATTGCTGTAGAAGGGAAATTCCGAATTTTGGATGCGGGAGGAATTCCTTATATCAAACCCATGTTGGACCTAACTGACGACGTCATCTGTCTCTACATTTTGCAAGTATGAGAGAAAATCCTCATCTCATCAGAATACGCAATACCATTTCTTTGCTGTTCTGTTTGTAATAGATCTACTTTAGACTGTAATGATACATCAAAAAAATTGGAGTCTTACTTAAATCAGGGGATCGCCTTTCTGTCCTCCCGCAGTTAATGATAAATACTGCACATCGTCCAGGAGCAAGGAAAAAATTGCAGAACTGTATTTCAATATTGCGAAAGATGATTACCGAGTCTACATCGGCCTGGATTAAACGCACTTGTAGACAATGCATCCAACAACTTCAGTTCACATCGCGCCCTTATCCTAACCTCAGATTTGTGAGGTAAATGCAGTCAGATTACAACGCCTGCTGTGTTGCAACAATCTAGTGGCAGTCCTTTACGCAGTTTTTTTTGCCTGTTGCAATGCATATGACAATGAACAGCTAATATGGGAAGTTAATCCTCATTCTAAATTGAATTTGGTCTAGTCGTGGTCATATTATGAGATTCCAACAGCAGTTTCGAGAGAAATGAATTATTATTAAACCAGATGATGGCAATTTCGGTCACTTTTTCTGTGTGAGACCAACTGCATCTAACTCCAAGCCTCTTTGTGAAGGTGTATACATTAACCTATGTAGAATTTGTAAACCCAGTCCAAACTAAATGTTCTTCTGCCGATCTCTGGTTTGAAACATGACTCTATAAACTGTCACCTATAGAAAATAAACGTTGGTGATAATGTTTCAGATTTCTTGAGTATTTGTGACTCGAACAATGTGAGAGACAATGTTTGTTACATGTGAATCTTGTGAGATAGAAGTTTATTTCTACTGTTCTAGAGCTCATTACCACGGCCCACACTAGCATATTGAATATTTGATGTCATACCACGTATGCATTAAAATTAGGAGCCTTACAATTCAGACCAGATTCAAATAATTTACAGTATACAATTATTGAAAGACCTGGTCCAGTCTGCATCCTAAGAGCCCCAAGGGACCCAGTAGTTAATAGGGTTTGACAAGTTCTACGTGATTGCAAAGCGTAGGCATTCGGACATATCCATGTATCTGCAATCTGAAAACTTTATCTAGAGATAAGTTTTGGTGTTTTGAAAGGAGGCACTATTGGCACATGTGACTTGAATTGTGACAATGATGAACTAAAGGCCAGTTATTAATAACAAAGCCAAAAGTGTTGTATGTGAACTTAGCTAGTAGTGAATTGTTAATAAACATTTGCATGATATTATTGTATTTTTTATTATATTTAAAAATAAACTTCTTAATTTTTTTATACAGAAGACATATAATAATTTTAAGATTTTAGATAATCAGATATTTATGTTATCGTTTTAACTTTTTTGATATTTTTAAAAAAATGTTTTGTAATGATTTAAATAGTAGAATTTTAAATGCAACTATAAACAATCCACAAGTTAAAATTAAGATGATTATAATATAATGATTTTGTTGTAATTTTACAATAACCAATGAGAAACATGATTTTTAATAAGATAGCAAGATAATTAAAAATAACCTTTACCAACTTATAAATTGCTTCGTGCATTGAAGATATTATTAGAATATATAATTTTCCTTTTAAAGAACTACAAGATGATCTTCTTTAAAAAAATTAAAAGACAAAGATATGAATTTTAGATAATAGTTAATTTGGTTTTTTGAAGTTTTTTATTTTACTTATTTAACTTAAACTATAATATTAAACAACTCAGGTATTAGCAATAAATTTAAACAATTATATGTGCAGTTTATAAATTTTATGTTTAAAGAAAGATAATGATAATTTATATTTTAATGAATAATGATACATGGTCAAATTTTAAAACTTAATCTACACAATCTAGAGATATGAAATTAGGTCATCAAAATTGTTGTTGGATGTGATACTTTTTTTGTAGTTAATTTTAATTTAAATAAATAAATACATTTCTTGCTTATTTATTTATTATTTTTTAAAATTAATTTATTTTTATTTGCAATTTCTAGTTTTAAAATGGGTCAAGAATATTACAAGTTCTGTAACCTAATCAAATAAATTATTTTTCTTTTGAAAAACGAATTCAGATCTTGTCTTGAGGTTTGGCCAATATTATTTTTGAAAAACGAATTCAGATTTTGCTTGCTTGCTTGCTTTTTTTTTTTTTTTTTTTTTTTTTTTTTTTTCTCTGAATGATATTTTTAGATATAATATTTTGATTTGTTTTTAGAATTAATTATTTTAAAATGATACTTTCTATTTTTAAAATCTTGTGCGATGTAACTTCAAAACATGTGTTTTTACTAGCTCTTCTTAAAATTTGAATGTGAATAGTTTACATCTGATTTGCTTGAAGTTGGTTGATTTAAACTTACGATCATTTTTAAAATCATTTTTACAATCATTTTTAAACTTCCATTTGTATGTTGATTCAAAAGACAATTTATTTTAATCAAATTATTTGATTGATAAATTTATTAGATTTTTATATTTAAAAATATTTCATTTGAAAATATATAATATATTATTTTATATCAAAAATTTCATAAAGATCATTTGCATGTTGATTTCTTATATAAATAGAAACTATTGAAAATCTTAACTTAATGCCTCATAGTTCAAAGTTTATATTAAAAAATATTCTACTTTTCAAAAATTTAAATTTGTAACTCATAATCCATAAATTCATGCACTTTTCTATAACAAATTTTTTTAGTACATCTATTAACACATTTGAATCAATATACTTCTAAAATATATACATTTTTTAAAACACATTTATAAAATCTTAATTACTATTTCTCTTTTCAAATTTCTTTTATCACCATCTATACAATTAAGCATTACCAAATTGTGTTCTTTATTGTCATTTGTTCATTGTTTGAATATTAATAAATTCTTCACTTATATAATTTTAATAAAATACAAAGAAGTCATGTACCACTCAATGTTTGACGTTCTTGTAAAAATCACACCACCTTGTGCTTACTCACCACTCCTATTTGCAACTCAAATTTGCACTTATTCATACCTCCAATTATGATATTTTTTAACACTTCAACTTCATAGAAAAGATACAAATCATGAGATTTTATTTTTTTATGTCTTTCTACAAAAACGTTACAAATTGAGAATACCTTCCCAAAACCTTTTTCTAACCCTAAATGTCACTCACCCATTAACAACGGAAACACATGCACAACATTGGCATTTACAATGTTGCAAAGATACAAACCAAATCTTTCTTTAGTTACATTGTGCCCAAGCATTTTTTTTGGTGCTGATGTCGTGTGAGTGAGCTGCGGACCACAAGCAGCACTATTTGCGAGTCACAAGCTGCCGGAATGTGGAAGAGAGCACCCTACCCACAAAAGAGAATAGGGTTCTTGGAAGCCAAAAATTAGATTTACGGATAGTTATGGAGGATCCTGAGGACGAATTGGGGGCACTCTGCAAGTAACGCTGCGTAAGCTGCCGAAATCACATACACCGACCCAAAAGGTCACAATCCAAGACAACCTAATTTCAGAACGCGTACATGAATCCTCTATTGGCGAGTCACAACAATGCGATAAGACTTTTTGCGAGGATTATACCAAAGACGACGCGTTGAGTGAATCGAGTCGGATTGGACCATCAGATGTCACCGCTCCGACCTTTCTCTAAACGGATTCAGCTTCGTTACGCAAAAATCGAAGGTGACTGGCAAATCCTCCGTGAGTCTCAACTTTTTGCTGATCTTCTAAAGGCCCCAATCGTTGGAAGAGCAGCGGTGGAAATTTGATGGGATTCTGTCCCGGTCTGAGAAATCAACAGCCCATGTTTCGCAGAGAGTTTAGATCTGGTCAGGGGTGACGGGCGCTCCCAGTTTGAAGGCAAGGTTTCCGAGAGAGCCAACTCAAGGAGTTCGCGGAAAAAGCTAACGACGGAAAGGAAATCGGTGAGATGGGTTTTGATTGCCGAGAGGAAGCAGAAGCAGAGCCTGCAGCAAATCAGTCGTAGCCATGGACTTAGAAAGTGTGCCGAAGCATCACACAATCTGTTGCCCGCGATCAGTCTCCGTCGGGGACGATCCTGCGGAATTAGGGCCGACAGTTCTGCTGATTTAGGGCGGACGGTTCCGAACTGGATTCTGTCATCCGACTTCCTTTCCTGCGCGATTGGTACGGGCCATACCTATCAACTAAATGAATGAATTGATGATTTAATGTACGTATATATATATATATATATATATATATATATTTGTTTCTTCTCCATCAGCTTGACAGTAAAATTAAAGGGAAATGCAAGTTTTTACCTCATTCAGCAAAAACCAACCATATTCCTCTTTTAAGGATCTCACCACAACAATCAAATCTTTCAATAGGATTCCACCTCCAATAGTGGATGTGTAGATGTAATATACGGCCTCATGTTTTTGATTCTTCTCTTTATATTTGATGAGATCCCTTTTGTCTTCCTTTCAATAGTGCAATGAAACAATGTGTCTCCCACAACAGGAGCTCATTCTTTTGCACCACCTAAAGTTTGATAGACATAGATTTCGCATTTTGTGGACCATGCATTGTGCAATGAGGGACAAAGAATGGGTGTTCAAAAAGCCATAAAGATCTTTGAAGACAAGGCCATTCTTTGAAGATAAGAATGCATCATTTTAGAATATTCATGTTGAGATTGGTTTGTGATTTAGTGTATTACTATGTAGTACACTTGTTTTCAAATTTGAATTCATTATGCTTTTAAATGCTACTTTAAAAAAGTAGTTTTAAAATGTATAAATAATGTTATGTATTAATAATAATAAATAAATATATATTTAGAAGTTGAATTTGGATTAACTTTAATTTATGGACAATGCTTTCAGTTGGAAACAACGAGTGTCATATTCCACATTGTAATGATTACCATGGGTAACATAGACCATGATAAAGTAGGACATGTTTTCCTAGTTATTATTAAGTGCATCTTTTTATGAATTAAATGTTGAATGCACATATATATATATATATATATATATATACGAATCTCTAAAAAATTGTTAAATTGATCCAAATATTTACTAAATTGACCCACCCATCATCATTGGTTGAGTATCCAACCATTTTTTCATTGGTTTTTGACCAATGCAAATCTAGCAATAAAGAATTTTTTTTGATGATGGTTATGAGAGGTGGATTGATTAGGAATTCCCCATATATATTTTTTATAGACTTTCACTATTATATCACCCAACTTATATTATTTTCTCACCCTAAACATACTCCTTGGAATTGGAAACAAATCTAACATAACCCCCACAACTCTTGCCAAGGTGTATATTTCATATCATGTGCTGCAAGTGAGTTCCACTCTACCTCATACGACATGCACTTTAGTGGACATGCTTCTTCTCATTCATGTACACAACAATAGTACCCAGCTCAATATGAACTGTTTGATGATTAAAAACAAAAACAATAAAAACAAAAACAAAAAAACAAAATAAAAAAGTGATAATTTGCAGTTGTAATAGACATTGGTAGCAATTGTAGCTGTAATACAACACACTATTGTTGAATTCTTCTTTTAAATGATATTCTAATTATAATATAATTATTATATGAATTCAACTTACCAAAACTCTAACCATCAATATATGTTCAAAAACATGATTTACATTATATATATATATATATATATATATATATATATATAATGGGAAATGTTAAATAGAACCATATTTTTACTAAATAAATCTATTCTTGATGAAGAATATGGTAATCATGATGAATGTGGTTGGCTTTTATTAGTTACAGATCCAATAGTGGAAAAATGAATCAAGAGGTCATTTTATTGTTCATAATGAATAGGTTGATTTATTAAAAACTTGGGTCTATTTACCATTCCTATATATATATATATACACACACACAAATCTTTCTACGTTGAAATTGAATGGAACGATGAGAACTGAAGTTCAAAAAGGAAGCCCGACACTATTCCCATTGCCGGCCGCAGCCGCCGCTGCCGCCGATAGCCATGGCCGCCAACCTCGCCAGCGAGAAACGTCGCAGACTGGAACTCTCTCTCCGGGGCAACGCGAGAGAGGAGGAGAGAGAGCAATAGAATTTGGTAGATCGAAGAAGAAGAAGCGCGGTGTGTGTGTGTGTGAGTGAGTGAGAGAGAGATTGCGACCAGGTGTTGGTCGCGACGCTCTTAGATTCCTCGGTGCATCGCCGTCATCGCCACTGCTGCCCAGTCCCAGAATCTCTGCATGTGCCCCAGGCCTTCGTCTCATGGATTCGCCCTCCGCAGTTGGCAGCCCCTATTCATCGAGCCTCCGGTGACCAGACACCCGCAGACTATCGCTCAATTGCTGCGAACTCCCCGCAGCCGGACTCTACCATCACCTGGGCCATCGTGGATACCTCCCACCAGCTACTCGCACCAACGTGCTGGAATCGGAACATTCTCGGGAGACAGCCATGGTGATTGATGGGTCCATGGTAACAGTCTCTGTGTTTGACATTGTGTCTTGCGGGTGTAATTGCCCACCCGAATGGTCGTGATGTTGTGGATGTCTTCGGTAGATGTTGGGGCCGGGTGCTTGTGGTCCTTCCGCACCGGTCACGCACGGGACTGCTACCGCGACAACCGTCTTTTTTTTTCCCAAGACTGGCGCCAGGTTGCTAAAGATGGACGCTAAGAAGGGCAAAGCGAATCCGGCACGCCTCCGGAGTTTCGACGTCATCGCTGGCTTCATTCTGCTTTGGTACATGGTTTATGGCCATGCTCCATGCCCGCCCGCTTTGTGCTCTGCTAGAAACTGCCGCACTTAAGAAATCGACGGATCGATGAAGCTCTCAACTGTCTCGGAGCTTCGAAGACGGATTGGCTGTTGTGAAGCGTAATCCATGAGCAGCGACGTTGTTTTTGGGGATGAAGACATGCATCGTAGTGAAGCTGATTCTCACTTCATTAGTCACTATTTTTTATTAACCTTTGCATGGATCATTACTCGCATTGAATGGCTGTTTTCGTGACACATAGTAGGGTTAAGACTAGGGACTCAGAAACTTTCAAATTTGAGATTTTGTTTTGTTTTACCATGGATTTGCTTTTCTCACCTTTTCTTCTCGTATGTATGCGATTTCGGTTTCTGTGATTGTGTAAGAAACTGGATCCTGAGTCAAGGTCAAAGGCTTCATTTTATTCATAAAAGATCCAAACTTGTGAAATAATTTGGTTGGTTTGTGGACGAGTAACTTGTAAAATTGGAGCTGCTTTGATGCGAATTTGAACCAGGATTGTCTGTTCAGTACATGAGGACTCGAATGGATGAACAGAGTAAAGGACGTGTTACGTTTAAACTAGAACTGAATGCAAATCTTGTAAAATAAATTTCCTGTAGCATGAATTGTAGATGATTTATTATAATTTATGCAGAATGTATTTCTGTGATAGTACCAGTGGGTGATGGAAACGATCGGCTGACGTGAGACTTTTGTTGATGTGGATTAACACTAGATATCGTGCAGATGAAAATCAAAAGAAAACAAAACAGAAAAAAACACAAAAACAATATTGGATACTCATGAAGAATGATTCATAAACCTTAAAGTATCCACGAATTTGTCAGTTCATCCACAAGTCTACGTTTGATAATGTCCACACGCTAATCTGAGTTTGGGAATGCGGAAACAAGTTTGAAGGTACACAAATAGATTCCTTATTTTTTTTATTTTATCTTTTTTTATTATTTGGGTGTTGGGAAAGGGGAGCTGGAGTCAAGCTTTTACATGCATTGAATGCACAAAAAGTGATTTAGATCCATCTATGTTTTCGTACTCTCACATGTTATTTTTTTTAATCCAAATCAAACATGTAAAAAAGAAAAAATAACATTTTAACATGGCATTAACATGGCATCATTTTCCACATGACCAAAAACTAAACTACTTTACCCTATTCTATCCTTGACCACCACCAAGCAGACAAGGACCTCCTCATGAATCTAAACCAGAAGGGACCATCTTGAACAACTATTGCTTGAACCCCAACAAACAAAATAGCAGCATTAATTACTCGTGCGAAAAACCACATCTAGAATCACATTTCCTAAAGCAAGAAAAAAACGTTCATAGCAAGGGCAACATGGTATCCACAGTTTCACTTAGGAGAGGATTACAGGAGCTATTGGTTTCTAGCCCTTTCAGAATCATTAAGGAAGGCTGTGTGTTTTTCCTAGTCTGAGCTGGGTCTCTTCTATGCGAAGCTACCATCACCGTCCACTGTGGACTGCGTTTTCCACAGAGCTGGTGAAACCGCAAGTGAGCTCCAGGTAACAAGCGATGCGGACATCTCATCGCAGATGTCGGAACAGAGAGACATGAGACAAGACCTTTACACTGCAGCGGCATCGTCGTGTTTCTCTTAATGATTTGCTCGTCGAGTATGTAGTGTGCTTTACTGGTTGTGCAATCCGCATATTTTGCCTCCTTGTCTGGTTCGTCTCCAATCTCCACGTCCATACGGAAGGACTGCTCCTCTGGACCACTGGTTTGACGACCTTGCGGCTCCCATGCCTGGACTCGACGCCTTCCGATCGTTTTCATTGACGTAGGAGATCGATTTTCAAGTGCAGGATAGAAAAAAAGCTGGGAGCAATTCTAGAAAAGGAGTGGCTCGTCACTGAAGCCTGGGTGTCGGGATCATGAAGAGAGGCGCGTCATTAATTTCATCTCTCTCTGGAAAGTACCGGTTGGTGGTCTCGTTCTTCGGGAGCTGAAATCGCTGGTCTATCCAGGCTGTGCGTGTAGCTAGCGACTGGTCGACAAGGGGTTGACTCTTTGCAAGCGCAGTCTCTTGCGAGGATATGTATGTTGAGTCAGAATGAGCTTGCGAAGAGGCGAGGAAAGTTCTAGTGTGGTGTAGGGGGAGATAAGAAGCATGGCTAGAATTGGAGAGGATTTTGATTTGTGGTGAACATCGCCGCTCTGTCATGTTGGAGATTGAAATGTTTGGCAGGTTTGGAAGGTTGTGAAACGGGACTGTTGGTTTCGTTGACGGGTTCAGGAGGGTTTCGATTGCAGTATGAAGTGGTTTAAGAGATTCGGCGGTCGTCGTAGCTTGGAGGTCTCAATCCCAAATGCAGAATTTCAAACTCATGTGAAAAAAATCTCCCAAGTAGTCGGTGTTGATTCAACTCTACCGACTTCAGATACGAATGGGTCCAGAATCGGCCGGCAGAAATCAGAGAGTGCTGCCGTATTTTCCCCTAGAGTTGGTGATCGGAATGAGAATGACATTGACGCGAGTTTGGAATTGCACAGCCGAAGTATCCAGGAGTGGAAGGGTAGAGTCGAAGGAATCCCAATGCAGAGTGCAGAGAATTCAGTTTCTTCAACTTCTGACTCCCACAGGGCGCCCCGAAATATAGACGCCAACTCGGAACCTGCCTCATCTTTAAATACTATTCCCCAACATGGGTCTTGGCGTTCTGGGGTCTGCGAGGCGATTTTTGTAGTGGGATTTGACGCAAATGCGCGAGACGCGCTCGTGCCGGCTATCACGTGGGTATTGCAGACTATAGTGAAGAAGGGAGATTTTCTCGTTTTGATAGGGGTGATGGACTTTTTTCGCGGGCCGTTGGGGTACAGGGTTCAGGTGAACGATAAAACGTGGCTAGGCACCAACAAGAAATTCGTCAGAGACGACATATCGCTGAAGCAATCGGCATGGTCATCCCTCCCCCGGTTGAAAGAATTGTGCGAGGAGAGAGAAGTGAAATTTGTTG